ATTAGGAATGGGATGCAATTCCTCGGAAGATAGTTAATAATTTAGTCTTCTCCATGCAAAGCAGATGCGAAGCTATTTTGTTGTATGACTACAATAGAATCTCAAACTAAAAATTTATTATTAAATAAAGTATCTAATAAGCTTTCAAATAAACCTAAACTTGTTTAATTTAAATTTGTAGTTGCTGAGATATACAGTTTTTTTGTTACCGCCCTTTTTTTTCTTAACACATTGTATAATCGTAAATGCACTAAAAGATTTTTTATGAAATTTTTAAATTAAATTGTCCTTTCTCGTAAAAGTGCCACAGATACATTATTATTAAGTGTCGAATTTAAAGTATAATTTTCTTTAATTTTTTATGACTTGCTCTATTAATATGCGAAATAATAGTTGTTTTATATTCCATTTAATTGAATGACTATATAATAAAATTCCAAAAATCTTCAGAAAAATCTTGTGCATGACTACATTGCTTTGCTTAGGAGGCATTTTTCATAAATAAACGTAACAATAATTTTTGTTTCAAATGAAATAGGATATTATTCAACAAAAACAATTTTGTAGCATATATATAAATTCAAAATTCCGTTTTATCTATATATCCGGGTCCCTGACGGATGATGCACGTGATGTTGTATGTACAGGGTTAGATTAGAACTGAGAGACTATATTTAAATCGTCTGCTCCAAGCAAAGCTTTTGATATCTGTTTTCCGTATTTTTGTCTTTTCATTTTCTTGCGCCGTAGATTTCCCAATAAAATTATTTTCATGTCACGTGGATGCTAACTCAAATCATTTACGAAAAGATTTACACATTTTTATTTACAAGAATTTGCTAATAACTTGAAATACTATACTAAATAATTATTTACAATTAATTTTTCATATTTACATTCTTTTAGCATTTTCACCATCACCGCTCCCCTTTTCTTCTTCCTGGCTTTCGTCATCGTCATCGCCATCGTCATCATCGTCATGATCATCTAGATATAAACTTTGATCCAGTAATTGGTCAAGTTCATCGCGTTCATCGAGGATCTTTATATACTCTAGAATAAAGGGAACATAATTGAATTTACGTCGTGTGTTCTCGTCCTATATAGTATATTTATATTTAGGTATTTCATCAGATTTGAATAATAAAATATTAAAACTAATGAAAATATTACCTCGGTCTGGACTTTTTGTTCGCATGCCTGTTTTTCATTTGCCATGGATTGCCGAATTTGCTGAGTTAACACATTTCTCCTTTTAATCAACTCATTAATCTCTTTTACGGATTTAATCTTCTCAAGTTCCGCTACCACTCGCTGTTTCTTATGTGCTTTCATCTCATATTTTTCAATTAATGGAATTTCTTGGGATACCTAAATAATTAATTTTGGGGGGCGGGTTTGGTTGTTACCATACAGATAAAAAGTTAATATAGAAATAATTCGGCTGAGAGGAAAGTAAAATAGAGCTCACATAAGTAAAATTATTTTGAGCCCGCCAATTCGGATCGAGCTCATTTAACCGGCGGTCGATTGCTCCCTTGATCACAATTTTCTCACACGCTTTTTCTCGATTGTAGACTTCAAGATCGTTGACAACTGCCATTAAGTTGTACTCGATACCTTCGATTTGATACCTGTTTCGTTTTGACAATTATGTGTATTGAATTGCTTTATATACACAGTTCCGCGGTTTTACAAGAATGATAGATCAATAATATATTTATTGACCTTTGCAATCGTTCCCTTATAGAATCCTTTGCGACTTCTATCCAATCGTCGCTCTCGATTTCTCCTAATTTTATGTAAATGAAATAGGAAAAATAAAAATTCATACAGAAAATATTAGGAAAAAAAAAACTCGAATTATTACCTATTTTCCGTGGATTACGTGCTAACCCATCAAGTTCAAATACGCTTCCATTAACCGGTACATAACCGGTATAATGAAAAACATCGCCGTCATCTTCATCCCAAATATATAGACCTAGATCATCCCCTTTACTTTTTCTTTTAGGTTTTTCCACTTCTATCAAGTCGAGATCTTCTTGAAATCTATCAAGTGTAAATAAGAAACCCAATGCTCGAAGGGAAAACACATAAAAGATAGAATGTATGTAATATGTAATTATACCTAACAAACCGATTATGATTTTCACGAAATTTATTGGTATTTGTCATGGCTAGACCTTTTAGCTTATAAATAAAATTTAAAAATTTGATATCATATTTTTTCAAGTGGAAAAATCCAATAATAAATTTCGGTGTTAAGGTTACTTACTGGCGGCTTGAAATCTCTCGTGAAATTTTTAAATTCATTTAAATCATTCCCGAGTTCAATTTTATCACAATTCAAGACAATATTCAAGAGGGCTTGTGTTGCGCAGGCGTTATCAATAACCTCGCCGATTTAAAAATTCAATAACAAAAACGAATCTGAATAAGGAAAAATAACAAAGCAAGAAAAAATATATAATGTTATTATTCTTACTTGGTTAGCAAAATACACCTGCAGTAATTCTTCATCATCATCAAACTCTTCTCCACTTTTATCAATCTCCATACTTAACTTGAACAGAAAGATTAACCCGTACACTTCGCTATTTAGCCAAGCATAATAATAATAATGGTGAATATTTCGTCTGATATACACATGTATATCCATATGTATGTATTTAATTTACCCAATTCTTTCCCACTCTGTTTTGTCATCAAGTTCCCAATATATATCAACCACTTGAGTATTATTTACACCAAGGCCCTGCAATAACGAAGTGAAGACTCCTTGATATATAGAAAATGCATTTTACGACCAAAAAAATGGGTTTATTAGTCCTGAACCAACCTTAATTATCGTAGAATTTCAAAGAACTTCTTTCTTTTGTAATTCCGCTTTACCTGGATCCGATTCTATTAAAGCCCATGGTCCACCCTCTAGGTGTTCTTGAAGCCTAGGTTCGTGAGTTCGAGCTGACATATTTAGTTGAATTGTAGCTGTGTGTGTATGTATTACTTTAGATGCACAGAATGGTATTACGCGTCAAATTAATGATAATAAAAAGAATCGAGAAGTGACGCGTTTTTTTATTAAATCATGATAGGTTGTTCTGGTATCACAAGGAATTTCGTATCCGTATCAAAATAATAAAAAGTGAGACAATTATTTTATTCAGAACAGACAAAGCTCTTTGTATTGTTATCCTTTAGCTAATATGTTGGATAATTGTCTATTAGAGTATCATCACAGTAGTACGGTATTGTCCATAGTCAACACCGTAAAACCAAACCCCGTTAAACCGAACAGTTTTTTGAAACATTCCCAATAGATCCTGTAAGCGTCTTTGGGGGGGGGGGGATTGACTATGTATTTTCTCCTAATGATGCCAGATTAAAAACCTTTTGACTTTTTTTTGAAGGCTGAAAATTGTTAAATAATTAAATTTTCATTTTAATCTAATTTCGATTTATGATAATTATAATCTTACTATAATTGGACACATAATAAACTTTTTTAATACGATAAACAAAGCAATAAATTTTGTTTGTTCTTTTTTTAGAAATAAAATTAAATTATTATAATTAAAATTTCATTGTTCATATAAAAAATCTCTTTTCAAATAAGTATATGACGTATAATGCAAAGATAACATATCATGCAATATAACATATGGCATATAACATAAGTCAACTATGCGCTTTGTCTATATCACACAGATCGAGATACTTTACGCGTCAAAGTGACGTAAAGCCGTTGGTTATCAGTCATCTTTAATGGTTTTGTGAGAAAATAATCAATAATTTAATCTTGACCTAATTTAATCTTGAGCTCTAAAAACTTACTTTTATAGAATGAAGTCAATTCCTAAAAGAACATATTTTGCAGGTGTAACATGATGGTTAAAATTTATCCAACTATACATATAATAAAGCCATTGCCTTGATTGACCGCGAGTTTTTTTTTCTTGGCATTTCTGATCAAATTTTTTCTTGGCATTTCTGAACTTTTTTTTTGCTTGGCATTTTCCGATCAATTTATTTTTTTCTTGGCATTTACATAATAAAAAAAGTTTATTTATTATTGCCCCTCATCTAAATGATCGTGTAGATAATTTCTATTATTCGCATCATACCGTGATTTTTGATAATTTGTCATATTTGCTAGCCTTTTCATTAAAAAATTTCAATAATAATCACTCTAATGGTTAGCATCGAAATTTCGAAACTTGAATGAAACTGGAAATTAATTTTGAATAAAACCAAAAATTGACATTTTGATATGCTGTGAGACTAGGCTTGCCAATTGAATAGATTTTATTTGGTAATATGTACATGTTTGTATACATTTATAACAAACACAAACCATACCTTGATGGAAAACATCCCTTCGTTGCTGGTCAACTCGTAAAACCAATCAACCAACCAACTGACTAATACATATTTTCAGTCAGAGTAATCATTTCTCTCTCGCTATCCTTCTTCCTATTTAAAAACATACATGTGTATCACTTTCCTTTAGTTAAACTTTTCACTAAACTCCGATACAAAACCTATTTTTTCTCATAATAAACCTCTCTTTCCTATATTTATATATATCCCGTGTTTTGGAAGGTTTCTTGAGAATAACTGCGACTAGATTGATAATTATAAATACAGTCAGTTGGTTAATCTTTTCTGGGCCCCGAATTGTTTTCTGTTTCTCTGTGACAAACAGAAACTTTACATATTTCAATATAATCTACACACACACATATATATATATATATTATATATACACATACAACGAAAAAACGAGCGATAATAAAAGGAAGAGATTCAATCAACGTCAAGCACGCACTGATATTCACAAGTTTATTTATTGTATTCCCATTGTGAATAATTTTTCGTATATACCAAGCTTCAAAAAACACATGATTTTTGTGTGTATATGCGCGTGAAATTTCTTTTCTGAATTCTATTCCGATCAAGCTCGAGCAGTTAGTTAATCACACAAAAAACCAATAATCATGTTATTTAAAAAGTCATCAATGCTAATAGCACTTTTGTTACTACTAACAATAACATCATTATCAAACATACCGACAACAAATGCACAATGTTACTCGCATAATCCGTTAAAAATCTCCGACAAAACTCCAGTAAATTGTGCTGTGGTTAACGAAAGATCATTTGAAAAACGACAAACACTTACTCAACCGAATAGCACACAAATGTTTCAGATCACATTTACTTGTGGAATATCTAATAAGTCACTCTGTACAAAAGTTAACAATGCATTTACGATGGCTGGCATGATAATTACTGCCACTCTGAAGTTGACTTCTCCGATCACTGTTAATGCTACATTTATAAATTTCTGTAACTCGATGGGTGATTGTGGTACTAATACTGGATTTCTGACCTTAGGTAAGTTATAATTTTTTACTGATATTAAATCATTGATTATTTCAATACATACTTAATTAATTTAATTAATCAATAAAGGAGGTGCAGCACCAGCTAGAACAATGCCCATGGTAGATTTAGATGGAAAACAAAGATTCTATCCGCAAGCACTAGTGAAACAATTTGGTTATTCAACGCATCATACTTACGGTCCATTTGACATCACTGCGCTGTTTAATTCTGTAGCAGATTTCTGGT